TTGATTTTACAATGAAGTTATGTAGATCAGCCTCCAGAACTTGAATGAGAGCAAACACATTCAGATGTGGCATAAGTTTTCCAACTGTTATGGAAGATGAATACTTGATTTCCAACTTACAGAACTTGAGTTCAAGTTCTGTGAATACTCAAGTTCTTGTATCTCGGCACTGTTGGCTTCTATTGAAATTAGGGCTTTTGTATTTAGTGAGTTCAACACATTTAGATTAGTGAAATTAGGGCTTTCTCGGAACTGTTAGTCTGTTACTATATTTATCTTATGCAATACATTATGCTGAATCTGCTCTACTGTTGTGACTTGCTGTTTTGGCTCTTGTTGTGAATAAATTGAGAACTGACTATATGATGCTCTCTAATTGTTATAAGTTGAGAAATGACAACATGTTTTGACACTTTATGTGCCAAGCACACTTTTTTCTGGGTTGTTTTAATGACTAGCTTTGTTGTTGTTTTAAAGATAAGCTTCCATCTGATGTATATTTGAAATGTGTCTTCATGTTTTCAAGATGAGCTTCCAAGTTCCAACATAGCTCAGAATGATTTGAAATGTGTCTTCATGTTTTAATGGCTGTCATAATGCCATTACAAATTTTGCTCAACAATGATTGATTTGTCTTCACAATACTAATTCCGTAGATTTGATTTCAGTTGGCGTGCAAGTGCAAATATGTCTGAATTAAATCTATCACAATCAGATTCATTCAACAATCAGTTGCTACCAGAAGCTTAGAATAGTAATGATATTGCCATTCATAATTTACCAAGTACAGAGCCAGAAGTTGTACCTCAAGTTGTTATTAATAATAGCAGTGAAGAAGTCCTTAACAAGAAGGGTAGGAGGAGGAAGTCAACAGCGTGGGAGTATTTTGTTGAGGCAATCTTTCCGATTAAAGGGGTACAAACTACTTTTTGGCAATGCACTTGCTGTCGAACAAAATTTCAAAAATCTAAAACAGGAATTACTTCTCAACTTCTACGTCATGTGAGGGAATGTGGACAAATCAAAGCTAAAAATAAGGAAGTCGTTGGTCTTGCCGAAAAAA